CAACATCGGTGACTATGGAATTGTAATGAGAAGTCAATGCAGGCGAACTTGTGGTCACTGCTGATCGACATAAAACCATCCATCCCTTATTAGATATTCCTCAAAAGTTATAAAAAATTAATGAAATTTTTTTCGCGCCCCTTTCATGAAAATTTAGGAAAATTTCGTCATATTTTGAATTTGATGAATTTTCATACTTTAATGGAAATAATAAATGATAAAATATTTAATAGAGAAATAGCCTATCATAACAAAAATTATTTAATTATAAAATAAATTGAATGAAATAGTTTTTTTCTAGTTTTTTTTACAATACGATGAATTAAACAAATAAGTGAAAAATTCATTTGGTATTAATATTTGGTTAATGAATATTCCTTGTCAAAATGTATAGTACAAAACATTGTATAAAAGCTTACGAAGAATGTTGAACAGTTCATTCATGAAACAGCTCGCCATGTGTTCCTGTCTCATTTATTTGTCTTTCTTATTTCTTATTTCTCCTGTTCATAGTGGTAGTAAGGTTATTAATGTATGCAATAGAAGTGTTCAACCACCAGCAGTCCCTGGAGGAGTAGGACAAGGTCAAGCAGTACAACGTCCAACCGTTGATCCAAATCTATGTGTCGATCTCGATCGAGATGCATGTGTTGGAATATTTTCGTTGGGAGGCCAAGAACTTCAAGATCAACGCAATCCGTAATAAAGTTTTTTTTAATCATTTAATCATTCCAAGAAAACAAATATCCATAGGGGTTTAGAAAATTCTGCTGAATATATTTCACCACAAGGGAATTTTAAATTTATAGCAGAAAATAAATTCAAAATAAAAAAAATAACAGTTTTCGCTCCAATATTTCTGTAGAAATGGAAAAAGTGTTTCAGTGCAATGGACTATAATGTAAGCGAAAATTGCCAAAATGCGAATTATATGCGTTTAGCCGAACAATTATGTCCACACACATGCGCGACGTGCTGTAAAACAAGAAAGTTCAACTGTAGAAATGGTTTTAACTTTTTTAAATACATATTATATATATATATATATATATATATATAATTGTAATATTCAATAAAATAAAAATAATGTAATAGAATTGAAACAGCCTTTCAATATATTGAATTTTCAGTTGCACAATGCGAAAATTTCTCGCAAGAAATGTGCAGAATGCCTTCTCTCACTAAAATAGCATTAGAACTTTGCCCGCATACATGTGGACTTTGTGATTTACCTGGTGCTGGCGGTGAATGTCCGGACAGCATTGATGGGTGCGAAAGTTTGAGGGGATTTTGTCAATATGACTCGATTAGAAATATGTGCCAGAGAACGTGTTTTTCACGCGCTTGTCTTCAAAATCTGACAGGTGCCTTATAATATTATTTGTATTATTACAATTCCTTCCATTCCGATTTATTTATGAAATCGGAAAAGGCAAAATAGTATTAGTGAAATTGCAAAAAATAGTTATTATAATTACCAGTACAAATTGAAGTTGATGAAATTTGATATGGTACTGCTGAATTTATCCAATGGTTACACTCAATTAAATTTATTTGAAAGATAATTTTAAATTTAGCAGCAACTTCGCAATTCATTGGCTGCACTGATAGCATCTTTGCAATATCGGTGATTACGGTATTGTAATGAGAACACAATGAGAATTCATTATCTTAGGCTACTCAAAGTTTTATATTTCACTCACCAATTTCTTGTTTCAAAATTTTTTAGCACAGCGCACTGGCTGTACTGATGCACACGTTGACTGTCCGTCATATCGGCACCTTTGCAATATCGGTGATTATGGAATTGTAATGAGAACACAATGTAGACGAACTTGTGGTTATTGTATTCCTTAGGTATAGATATTCCATAAAAAATTGCTTTCTGTTTTCCGCCTGATAAATAATGAAAAAATTATTATCGTTAGTATTCAATACATCAACAACGCATAGAATTTACTGTGACCTCAGTTTTTTACCATTATTATTGCAATTATTATTACTATTATTGAGATTACTAATAGTGATTATTATCACTATTCTCAATACAAAGACTATTCAATGTTGCTAAACAAAATTTTAATAAACCTTAAAGCGATATTCGTAGACGTACCTCCGAGGAGAATTTTTTTGTTATTCTGTTATTGCGGATTTTTCTAATATTTTAACGATTAATTAATATTGAATGTTAACAATAAAAATTTGTATAGGCCGGAGGTGAATTGGTTGCAAGAGATTCATTGGCTTCTGGTTAATTATTTTAGTTATTAACTTTTTTTAAAATATGGCAACAAACGCTGTCTAAGTACTCACGGATATTCCTAGCGACTATATCTATGTTAAAGGATTTTTTTCAATGAGGTTCACCAAAAAGCGGTGAAGAATTGCAATATTTTTCGAAGTGTTTTTTCATTATTATTTATTATTTATCTACGTGTTATTTATTTCTGTTCTGTTTATTTAATTCACGATTGCCATTATAACTTTGCGTAGAATTAGCAGAAAATTGCAATACAACGTACGATATAGAAGAAAATAATGGATCCGTGCTAAATCTCTTATAGCAGGAATAATAAAATAAAACTTTTCCAGAAATATTTTACTAGAAAAAAATTTCATAGATTAACATGAAATGCCATTTTGCAGTAAACTATGTCAAAAAAATTTTAAGATCATTTAAATATGCCTTCATGGAATGGAAAATGACAAAATATTTTAAGATTCCCAAGATTTATTGCCAGGAAACAAACTAAAATGTTGTGGTGGGAAATATAATTTTTTAATGACAATTAATATTTTAAAAAAATTCCTACTGGACTGAGGTGAATTTTTGAGAGATTTGATTGTTTTTGGTTATTATTTCCAAATATGGCGAGCAGTGCTCTCCTACATTTTTTTTTCATTTCTTATAACGATCGAATGTGTTACGAAGTAGCAAAATAGGTGAATCTATATTAAACGATTTTAACGAAATATTTTATTTTAGTAAAAATTCATTGAATTATTAAAAACATTTAAAAAATTGGAACATTTTATCATAAAGGCAATTAATATTTGTTCATTCCCGGAAATGGTAAAAAAAACTTTCAGTATAAGTCCGCAGTTATAAAAAAACATTGCGCTGGTGCTACCAATCCAGGAAGCATTTCATGAGCCATTAACCATCATTGCATAGTAAAATAATAAAAACTATAAGTATAACAAACTATTATAAGAATAAAAATTATCAAAATTTCTAATACTTTATATTTTCATGTAATATTATCACAAAAACAATTTTTACAATAGCAATGATAGTCAAAATTTATGATAATAATATCAATAAATATATTAACGATGAATGATTTTTAATAAACGCTCCATAAAAAAAGAACTGCAGTATTGAAGTCGATTTATAGGACGACGGTTCAGTTCATATTGAAGATGTCATTATTTCCGACAAAATAATAAAATTTTAGTGGTTCGAAAGCGTTTAAAAAAGGTTTTTCTAAAATTATTAGTCGCTCAGATGTTTTTTGTACTGCTGAATATGTGAAAATTACAAAACATTTTTGAAAATCGCCTTCATAGCTCAAAAAAATTTATAAATGATAAAATAAATATAACAAATGATGAAAATTTTAAAAAACGAAATAAAAAAGAATGAAAATTTTTTTCAAGCTTTATAAGCCGACAAATTAAGCGAACAATTCGATTCAAACAATTGATTATCAATTATCACTGATTAACGAAATGATTAACGAAAATTTACTGTCAGAATAAACAGAAAAACAATATAAAAGGGAAACTAAAAGAATGAAACTGATTATTTGCAATTGATTATAAAAAGGTCGCGGCTCATAATGAATTTCGTTTATCTGCCTCCATTATTTTTTATTTCTTGCGTAAATGCTGGCGATGTGGCAATTAATGCATGCAATAGACCACTTCCACCAGATGCAGCGCCACCTGAAGAACCTGTAGTTGACCCTCAAGCAGGTCAAGAGCCAATGTACCGCCCAACCGTCGATCCAAATTTATGTTTCGACCTGGATCCAGCGTGTTCAGCCATATTCAATTTGGAAGACCTAGAGGAGACAATTAGAGACCAACAAGATCCGTAAGAAAATTCTTTAATAAACGTTCATTCAAACAAATTGATTTCCTTCGCGTATATATTGAAAATCCATTGAATTGGATTAATTAAATTAAAAAATAAAATCAATATTATAAAATAATACAAAAATGATAATCCATAACAAAAATTGACTAATTTTATATTCTATAGAAATGCTTTATTTTAGTACAAAAGGCTATAAAGTGAGCGCAAATTGTCAAAATGCAAATTATATCCGCTTAGCCGAACAATTGTGTCCTCGCACATGCGCAACGTGCTGCAAAACAAGAAAATTCAACTGCAAAAATGGTTTTAACTTCATAAATATTTCTAAAATCACATAAGAATTCAAAATTCAATTTAGATTTAAAAAATTTTTAATATTAAGTTAAATATACTAAAAATTTCAGTGGGGCAATGCGAGAATTTTACGCAGGAAATGTGCAGAACACCTTACCTTAGCAGAATAGCGTTCGAATTTTGCCCACATACATGCGGACTTTGTGATTTGCCTGGTGCTGGCGGTGAATGTCCGGACAGCATTGATGGATGTGAAAGTTTGAGGGGATTTTGCCAACTTGATTCGTTTAGAAATATTTGCCAGAGAACTTGTCTTTCAAGGGCTTGCCTTCAAAATCTGACAGGTAAGTGATTGTTACTGGATATTTCCACTTTACCTATATTTATTTTTATGTTTAGAATGTTTATGATAAAAAATAGCTGTGCCATCAAGAAATTGCTATAATTGGAATATTTTTTCTCCATAAATTATACTGCTGAAAACAAGTTATACTCGATTAAATCTGCTGAAATATTTTTCAGCATCGCAATCCAGTGGCTGCACTGATGCTCACGTTGATTGTCCTTCATATCGGCACCTTTGCAACATCGGTGATTATGGAATTGTGATGAGAACGCAATGCAGGCGAACTTGTGGTCATTGTAATCCTTACTAGATATTCCCTAACAAATTCGTTTCTGTTCTCCATTTAATAAATATCAAAAAAAATTATTATCATTAGTATTGAATACATTATCAACCGATCGAATTTACTCTGATTTCAGTCTTTCTATATAAAAATGGCTGAATTCATCGAATAGACGTTCGGATGAAATGAATGAATTATCTTATTTTACTCATAGCCATTGAGGAAAGCCTAACCAGAATTGGCATCTAACATTATGCACCAT